ACCTGCACTACTACCATTGCTTCTTCACTGGTCTGCCAGACTCACCACCTTGCCCTGGAAAAGAGGAGCTCATTCCTCTGTCTGGCAGCAACAGAAAAAAGTAGGGGCTTGCCAGTTGGTCAGGGAGTCAAAGGACGTTCCAGAAAGTGGATCATAGAAACATGAGAGGCTGTGGCACATTAAGGAAACAGTGAGTGAATTGATGGGCATTGGTTGCCTTTCAAGGCATGGTGGAGGAGAGGTCTGAAGTTACAAGCTAGTGAGAAGCCTTGTGACTCCTGCTCCAGAGTCCATCTCGGACTGCTGTGCTCGTCCACGTGGTAAATTGGCTCAGGTGTTAGTTTATTGAGGAACTACACATTTTCATAGCAGAGTTCTAAAGACCTGAGAATGAACACCTGTGATTTTGAGAGTAGCCAATGCTCTAGTTGTAGGTGGGCCTGTCTTCCCTAACAGGAGCTTTTAAATGATCATTAGTACTAATATTAGAAATTAAATTAGTTGTTTACTGCTTGAGTTTCAGAAGAATATGATCATAGAACCTTTTTTGTTTTTCTTGTAACTTGGTAAAATGCAGTAATCGAGGCAAAAAAAAAAAAAAGTGTATCGCCCATGGATTAGGTTATATTAGTGACTTTGTGAATCATCAAACTGAATTTAACCTGTTTGAATTTTAGACCCTTAAAAATTCTGCAGAAAGCTATGGTCCCTTTCCTCATATGAGCTCCCCTACAAATGCACCATAATTTTGCACAGAATTTCAGAAAATTCAAGGGGCCCAGAAGCCCAACGATGGGCCCACCTATGAGCCCCTGCTCTAGGTTGTAAGACCGACAGCCCCTCACAGCTGTCTGATAAGGTACTGGTCAGAGCTTCCCATCTATAATCCTCAGTGAAGTTAGTCCAGCCCCGTGAGTATCTTTTTCTCTGATGAGTCATATGATAGGAGCCAGTTTTTCTAACATTGTAACCACTCAAAGCACCTAATATTGTACACATGCATAGTAAGAAATAGTAACAACCACAGAAGGTTCTGGGCCTCTTTCTTCTGCTGATATTTCTGAATAGTTTTGTTTTGGTTTTTTTTAATTGGATGAGACTTCCTACCAAAGTCCTTCTAAGAACTGTCATTGACACCCTGTCTAAGAGTTTCCCAAAGTAACAATGTGAGCAATGAATTTCCACCCAGCCTGTTCCACAACTGGCTATTTCTTATTTTGTGAATATAAGAAGAAACAACCGTGCTAGAGGCCCTTCTGTATGGAACTCTGGTGGAGTAATGCCTAAGGCATTTGACTGCTAACCAGAAGATTTGTGGTTCAAACCCACCAGCCGCTCAGGGGAAGGAAAACTGGGCAATCTACTTCCATAAAGATTTACCACCTCAGAAACCCAAAGGGAGTCGCTATGAGTCAGAATCAATTTGATGGCGGTGGGTTTGGTTTTGAGTTGTAGAGGCCCTTTCAAAAGTGGCCTTACCAACTTTATGTATAAAAACAGTCCCAGGTTTTGGAGTGAGGGGGATGTTTGGAGTAGAACTTTCTTATCCACAGTGGTGAATGTGGAAAGTGAGAGAGTCAAAAAAGCTGGAGTGCCCATATTGGAAGACTGGAAATGGAAGTTCAGTTTCCTTTCAGAAATTGGCCTTGCATTGTGTCTCTGGGGACAATGGAAATAGAAGCCAGAAGTCATAGTTTATTCCGGGAATGCCGTAAACCATTTGTCCCCCGTTAGATGATTGTGTTACACGGCATTGGGGAAGTCCTGGAGCTGCACTTGTGCTCTGACCTCTCCTTCCACGGTCGTATACAACCAGCCCTCAGGGAGCACAGCCCTTCCTGGCTACTGCCATATATATATATATATATATATATATATATATGTTCATATTCCAATCTGATCCTCTCTCATTCCCAAAATAATCAGCATGAACAGAATGAAGCAGATGGCACAGCCTTCCTTGGCGTACTGGCAGATCTATATCACTCACTCAGTATTTTTAGAATCAGGAGGATTGAAAATTATGTCCTGAGATGTTTTGGGGAAAGACTTAACTATCTTTCCAGCATGACAGGTGTCGGACCATTCCCACGATAAGATTCAGATGCAAACTGCGTATCGAGTCACAGAACATACTAGCATCAGGACCGCGCCTTTGTTGATTTTCTATTAGGGTTTCTGGTGCGTTGCCAGAAGCAAATTTTTGCCCATTAGAAAAGGAATGTGTATGTTTGTCTCGGTTCATCATTTATAAAAACTTACTGAAGAAATCAGAGAATGTTCACTGTCATTTAGGTTCAACATTTGAGTACCAACTTTGTATTTAATGTTGGGTGAGGTGTATTTAACACATAGACCCAAAACCCAGTAAGATGAAATCTTGGAAATTACATTCACGAAATAAGTAAAAGAGTATAAAGATTTCACTTTTTTTTTTTCTCTTTTTTCTTGGGGGGGGGTGTTTGAGAAAAAATCAGATGGGGGACAAACTGTTGAAGGAGATGTGACTCCCCTTTGAACATGGCCATGCCTGAAACTTTGATTATACCCGTCATCTTTGAAGACCCAAGAGAGAGGTGTGATGATGCCCATGACTTGCGGACCTTTGAATGTAGGGAAGAAGTTGGAGGAAGGCAGATGGAGGAAAACTTGATTCAGTGCCAAGGGGCAGTAGATTTTTGAATAAACCTTATTTTTCCTTTGTGCTCTTGGTATGTTGCTAAGCGATCTTTCAAGGTTTATATCTTGTTGGTTACAAGCTTTTTCTTGCTACTCTCGTGTCCTCTTCTGCATGTGAGCATGTGTAGTATTCACATTACTAGTCCCTTCCAGTATGATTAATTGATGGCATAGTATACATAGGGAGAGACTGTGTGTCTCTTTCCATTACATCTATAGCTAAATGGGTTAGAACCAGGGGTTAATGTACAGCGAATAGTTTCTGTTTTAACCCCCATGATTAAAATATTTGCATGCTGGTTTTTGTTATTCTCACAACATGCTTTAGATCTATTTTGTTTCAGTTGATTGTCACCGACAACCCGTTTACATAGATCAAGTGGGTATCACAAATGAGGAAATTGAAACGCAGGACATAGCTAACAAACGGGTAAGCTGGAATTTGAACTGGGGAATCTTTCCATGTTGTGAACTCTGTCTGACTAGCTGCCAGAAACTTCTGAGGCAGGAGATGAGAAACACTAGAAGTTTCCTGCAAATTTTTGCCCATTAGAAATACATGTTTGTCTAGGTACATGTGCAATGTACTGGTGTATTTAAAGATTATTGAAATGTTAACAGTGAAACTTCATCTAGCTAGAGCCCAGCTTTCTGGAATAGTGCTGATCTGAAAGTAACTGAAAAGGCAAGTAAAAATTAACAGTAAAGAGCAACCCTAAAGACTTGGTAATAAATGATAGCAGCAGTGAACAGAGCCTTAAAGTTGGCTGTGCAGGTCGGTTTACTGTGAGCACCCTGCTTACTGGACAGTGTTCAGCAAAGGCTGGCCTGTGTACAGAAGCTACCCACATGTTTAATGTAAGCATATAGCACTCTAACGTTTCATGTTTCTTAAAGTAGGGGTACTTGAAGGTTAGCCATGCACCCATCTGAAAAACGGAACTGAAATAGCATCTTTTCCCTGAATTGTACAAAGACAGGGTTTCATTGTCTGACTTTTGATGCTGTCAGTAAAATGATGGTCCTTTGGTAGAAAAAGAGGAGCCTGGTATTTGGAGGCATTGGGTAGGCTGGAAGGGTGAGGATGCTTGGGGATCAGACAGGCGGAGGTGGGGGATGCAGCAAGCCCACCTGTACAGGTGGTTGGGTTGGCCCTCCAGGGCAGCGCTAGGGTTGGGGAAGTGTCCCTAAGCTAACAGGGAAGAGACTCAGAACATCTTCTTTTAGAGGATGTTGTTGTTGTTGTTATGTGCCGTCGAGTCAAACCCGACTCATAGCGACCCCTCCTTGGGATTGCCCAACCTTCCTTCCGAGGAGTGGCTGGTGAGTTTGAACCGCCAGCCGTCTGGTTAGCAGGCAAGTGTCTTAGCCACTGTGCTACCAAAGTGTGTTCTGAGCTTTTGCCCGAACTATAGTTCTGTTTCCATGGAAATATCTTGGCTCCTCCCTAAAGGCATTAGATCGGTGCAGGTAGGCCTTCTTCACCCACATTTCATTTACTTCAGTCTTTCTGTGTAATTACCTTACAAGCAAATTCCCTTAGATGTATACAAATGAATCCTTCTTGGCCACTGGAAGTTGAAACAGGTGTGATAAGTTATGTTGTACTGACAGTGAGTGAGGAGAAGCCCATGGTTTGAATAAAAAGCCACGTGCCGTGGAGTCCATTCCGACTCATGGCGACCCTGTGTGTGTCAGAGAACTGCCCCATGGGGTTTCCAGTGGCTGATTGTTTTGGAAGCAGATAGTCAGGCCTTTCCTCCAAGGCGCCTCTGATGAACTTAAGTCTCCAGCCTTTTGGTCTGGAGATTGGGCTGGCGTTTTGGTTAAGCAGCAAGCCCTTAACCATCGGAAGCACTGAGGGGCTCCATGGTTTGAAGAAGCAGGGGAAATGTTTGCTTATATACCAGTAAAGCTCTCAGACACACTGGGAGAGCGTGCTTTTGGTTTTCTTTCCCTTTGCATTGGTCAGCCGGGCCTCACCCTGACCTGAAGTTGTGCTGTGAAGTAGATAACACAGAAGCATGGAGACAGCCATCTTCATCTCAGAAACGTGCTCATCCGCCTTCGGAACCTGTGCTCGGCTCTTGGCCGCCCAGCAGCCCAGACGGGCCGACTGATGTGCGCAGGAACACAGGGAGGGTGGAGAACTGTGCTGGGTCAGAGCCGCTCTTGACGCCGGCTCATTGCTTCTGAAAAGCACTGTTTGCAAATGGCTAATGCAAGGAAACTGTTGCTCTTCTCTCCACAGACAGCCCGGTGGTCCTGGAGATCCCCCAGCTCTAGTGATGCAGGTTACCTTTCTGCTCCCGGGATTTCAGCTGTGCCTCAGCCTCGCTCCCCCAGCTTGAGACGCTTATAAACTGGGATGTGGAAGCCCAGGCAGCACAGCTAGTGGCCACTGGGAGGGCCACGTCTGGGTAGAGCCAGGCCCAGACCAGGATGCCGCCTGCCTCTGCCCTGGTCAGGAGCTGAGCTGCAGTGGCTCTGCTGACGCGCCAGCCCCAGCTCTGGTTTGTGCTTAAATGGCACGGCAGCTGGTTGGCGCATCCGAACAGGAAGGTGTGAGCAGCAAAGCCCATGGCCACCTACCCCTGCCGATTATGTGGCAAGACATTCCTCACCCTGGAGAAGTACACCATTCATACTTATTCCCACTCCAGGGAGCGGCCTTACAAGTGCTTGCAGCCAGACTGTGGCAAAGCCTTCGTTTCCAGATATAAATTAATGAGGTGAGAGGTTTCAGAAAAGGTATGAGCTCGTACACATGCCTTTAAATGGCTTCACTAGGCCTCAGACCAAGCCCTGCCAAGAGAAGGGGAGCGGGCTGTGCAGCGATCCTTAGCTGGATCTCCAGTGGCTGCTCACTAGGTGGGGGCCAGTTTTGCTGTTCAGTAGCAGGTAATTCTTTCAACAGGTATTTCCTGTGCACCTAGAACATGCCAGGCCTAAGACCAGAAAGAGAGAAATACCCATGACAAGAGAAACACTTGTAAACCCAGTTAAAATGTAACCCGAGTGCCAGGACATAGCGAGACAGGTGGAGGACAGTGTTCTGGACTGCTCAGTGGAGCTGGGAAGGCTTTTCCGAAGTGACGATCTTAAGCTGTGACATACAAGGGGGCAGAAAGGAGGTGTGGGACAAAGAACCACGTTTAGCCTTTCGTGTGTCGTGTCGTTTCTGAAAATGGCCTGAGCAATCGAGGTGCTCTTTGTCTTTCTAAAATAGCCTGGCAAGTAAGAGCCGCACGGGAGGGGCGGAGGCACTCGTGTATCCATCGCATCAGTTGGATCCATCTAGCTGTGCACTGAAGTCTCAGTGAGGACGGGACCTGGGCCTTGGAGGTTCTCTTGTTGGGCTTCCTAGGAGAGGGTGGCACTTCTCTGGGAACAATGGAAGCCAGGACCTCTCTCAGACCTTGCCTGATGTATCTCTACACTTACATCCTTTCTGGTCGTAACAGGTAACTGTAAGTGGAGGTACGGGTTTTGTGAGCTCTGTGAGTCACTGGAAAATCATTGAATCCGCCGGTGGCAGTGAGCACCAGCAGAGGGGCTGGTGTTTGCCTAGTTGGTGGGAGCTGGAAGGACAGAGCCCTAACTTGTGGAGACCCAACTGTGGGTGGTTAGGTCAGAGAGAGAAAGTGCCACATGGGTGGATGGTGTCAGAATGATGTAGTGGGAAAGTGGGGATATGGGATATGTTCACATTCTGGAAATTAGCCCTATGTTGACTACTCACACAGGAGGTTCTGGGCAAGCCATAAGCCCTGGCTTTAAAGAGTGGGGAGGAGTGCTGGGGGAAGCTGACCAAGAGGCAGAGTAGCGGCTCATTAACAAGCCTTCCTACTGGCCCACAAGAGCTTGTTTTTATTCCAATGTGTCTAAGTAGAGACATAACATGATTTGACTGGGATGTTAGAAACATGGGTCTGGTAGTTTTTAGAGAAGAGAGAGGAGATTTGTAGACCAGTTTGAAATAGGTGCTAATGGTCCAGCCATGACTGAGGACAGAGAGGCGAGGATACCTCCAAGTATAAACTTCTGTTCACACTGTTACCTCAGTGTCTCTAAACCAAAAAACCAAACTCACTGCTGTCGAGCCAGACCCGACTCATAGCAACCCCTCCTTGGGTTTCCGAGGCAGTATCGCTACGGAAGTAGATTGCCCAGTCTTCCTTCCAAGGAGTGGCTGGTCGGTTTAAACCACCAGGCTTCTGGTTAGCAGTCAAATGCCTCAAGCATTGCACCAGCAGAGCTCCTACTGGGGCCTAAAAGCCACCATTAAAGATGCAATTCAGTGAGGTAGGCATCCGTTCAGTGTGCGCGTCATCAGATGTTCACAGGTACCCATGATACCCCAGTGGGCAAAAACAACGGTTCAACAACTTTTTAAAATTTAGTCTGAATTACTTCTTGAATGCTATTACGTACTCACCTCCAGGAGGGAAATTAATAGGAGAGGTGTAACGTTTGCCCCCAAAGGGTTTTTATATCCTAGGACAGAATTACATGAGATAGAGGCACGGCAGCGGTCTGATGGGCAGTGAATGCTGTGTGTGTGGTCCCCTCAGGCACATCGGCAGACTCCCACTAATGCACGCTTCCTTTGATGTCTGGTTAAGGAACTTTAAAACTTTCAGACTACTTACACATGGATGTACAGGTGAGAGTCAAAACCCAGGCTTTCCACCTCAGGGAGTATTATTACTATTATTAAATCTTTGAGTGTCTCCAAGGAAAGGTCCTTAAGAATACCAGCATTATAGATAATAGTTTATTTTAAAAGTAAGTGTATAAATGCTTAGGTCTTAAAATTCAAATCACAAATAACAGTATTGCATGCCTACTGTGTGCACCAATTTTGGTGCAAAGGCTTCCTCTTCAGCTGCAAGCTAAAAGCTGCTTATGTGTATCGTGTAACAGTGAAAGTGGTATTTGTTGCATTTAAGCCACAGCGAGGATATTATATAACCAAATAAAGACTGAAACACATACTTGAGAAGTGTTTGGAAAAGACAGTGGAACTAACAGATGTTTGGAATGGCTAGCGTTATGTGGGATGGCCAGTCAGGGCACTGAAGGAGGGGTCTGAAGCAGTCTCTAGGAGTTGGGAGTTCCTGGCTGTGACTTGTTCAGATAAGGGTGTGAAGTGGGACAGAAAAGGGAAGCAGTGCACCTTATGCGAGAACGGCCTTCACTGCCACCAGCATTTCTTACCTTTCTGACCAAAAGCTATGACTCGAGAGGGAATGGAAGAGTGGCAAGATGGCAGGATGGTTCGGGTTTTGCTCTTAAAAAGAACAATAGGCTGGCTTTCCATCCCATTTCCCTGTTGCAACATAAGCTTCATTTTGCAGTGCAGAGATTGAAGGAGAAAAGAGCTGATTTGCTTAAACTAGAAAAGAGACCTGGCTTCCCGTACAGCCACCAGTGCAATCAGTCAGGTGCAGACGGCAAAGAGCATGACAGGCTGATCTGGCAAGGCAGGGCACCGTCTGTTCCCAGCAAGTCTGAGTGTGAGCCGTGGCCCCTGAGGAATTCTAAGCTCATTGGTATGATCCAGATGATTCCCAAGGTGCGAGTATTTGGTGCTGGCTATATGACTGACTGGTGGCTTTAGGTCAGGAGAGAAGCTGAGAGAAGGAAACAAACATTTCAGACAGATTGAGCATGTTCTAGATTGAGACTGTTGGATCAGTAAGTGAGGGGCAGATTAAAAGGGAAGAATTGGATGCTAGATGAAAAAATAAAATCAGAGGGCTGGAGCTGGTGGCGTCTGAAGGGTGGTGGGGTGACTCAGGGGCCAGTCATGTCAACCTGTGACTTCCTCATAGGCAGTGTAGGTGTAGGACTGGAAAATAGGGTAACTGCATTGATCTGCCCGTGGGTGATAAATGAAATGAAATCAAATCAAAATCCTCCCCAAGGAAAGAAGGGAGAGAGGCAAGACCAGGAAACCTAGGACAGAGCACTGGGGTCCTATTTGCTGAGACAGGGTCAAGTAGGGAAAAAACAGAACTAAAAGCTAAGTTCGTACCCTGTCATAGCTATTCCTGTGTGATCTGTCTCTGATATTCTAGAAGAATGTGGCTGCTTGTCCTCTGAGATGCTCTAAAAGCCCTTTCTGCAAGCTGAGAGTATTGATAGACCTAGAACGTGGGGACACCAGCGTCATTATCTGTAGAATGCTGACTGCATTGGTTCCTGCCCTGTCAGCATTGCTCGTGCCTGTCTTTCCATACCCCATCACGTGCACCCCCTTTATTGGCCAGCTGTGCCCTCGTGGAGTGCAGCAGTGGAATGTCCTTCTCTCCATCCTCAGCACATAGCAGGCTGCTTGTTTTGAGGGGAGAGAGGAAGGAGATGGGGGATTCAATAGTGACAACCATTACCTTCTAAGCAGCTGCTGCTGGAGTTCCCTCACAGATGCTACCTCTTGGAAAGGAGAGTGGACAGTAGAAGGTAGGAGGAGGTTGGGTGAAAGGTGTAACTCTTAGATATTTGACCGTGTTTCAGTTGAAAGTTTACACAGCAGATTGGGTTCCCATTCTACCCCTTCTATACGCGGTGTCCACGTTCTCATGATTTCCGCGCTGTCGGTTCTGCATCCTTTGATCTAGCTTCCCTTCCTCATCTTTGCTTTTGGGTAAATGTTGACTGTTTGTTGTCCTATAGTTGAGTGTTTAAAGGACACGTTACTCACAGGTGATACTGTTTATTTTATAAGCCAGTCTATTACTTGGCTGAAAGATGACCTCCAGGACTGACCTCTATGCCAAGTTCAAAGAGTGTCTTAGGGTGATAATCTTGAGGGTTCCTCTAGTCTCTATTAGTCCAGTGAGTCTGGTCCTTTTTAGGAAGAGGCTTTACTGTTTTTATAGGATGAGTGAAAAAGTATCTTGTATTCAAAGGCACATGCTCAGAGGGCACAGTTGCACTGAAATTAGCAGGATGACAAGCTTTAGACTCTACAGGCAGGACACCTAAAGGAGCTGATTGTCACAGGGACGTGAAGCAACCTGTGTTGTACCTGCAAGTCACAAGTTGTAGTTAAGGATTTTATTTTGTAAGAAATGCTAACACACAGCTCTTGTTGTTTTATATGATTTACTTAGACTAAGCAGGAATTGTATTAGGAACACTAACGTAAAACTGCAGTTTATGAGGTTGTTACAGAAGGCAAATTGGGTAACCTTTACAAATTCTTGAATTTCCAAAGGGTATAGAGTATCTGTTGAATGCCTTCCTAAAAAATATTTTTCATGCTCGCACACTTTTATGTATGTATGTGTGTGTGTCTGTGTGTATGTATATATGTATGTACATATTTGTGTGTGTGTGTGTTATTTGTGTAGAAATCTCCTTATACACATTAGGAAAATGTATTGTCTTAAACTCTTTACAGGTATAAAAATTTCCATTATGTCTTTAGTAGTGCGTTTTTAATGACAGAGAATTAAAAATACATAACTATGTTATCCTGTCACTCAAAGAAGACTATTAACCTTTTGATACAATCTCTTCAACTTGAGATAACTGAGTTCCCTCATGAGTGTCTTCCTTCTGCTCTTAGGCACATGGCGACCCACTCACCCCAAAAATCTCATCAGTGCGCTCACTGTGAGAAGACGTTCAACCGGAAAGACCATCTGAAAAACCACCTCCAGACTCATGACCCCAACAAAATGGCCTTTGGGTGTGAGGAGTGTGGAAAGAAGTACAATACCATGTTGGGCTACAAGAGGCACCTGGCCCTCCATGCAGCCAGCAGTGGGGACCTCACATGTGGGGTCTGTGCCTTGGAGCTAGGGAGCACTGAGGTGCTGCTCGACCACCTCAAAGCCCATGCGGAAGAAAAACCCTCAACTGGAACCAAGGAGAAGAAGCACCAATGTGACCACTGTGAACGATGCTTCTACACCCGGAAGGACGTGCGGCGCCATCTGGTGGTCCACACAGGCTGCAAGGACTTCCTGTGTCAGTTTTGTGCCCAGAGGTTTGGGCGCAAAGACCACCTCACCAGGCATACCAAGAAGACGCATTCGCAGGAGCTGATGAAAGAGAGTCTGCAGAATGGTGACCTCCTGGGCACCTTCCACTCCATCACGCCTCCGTTCCAGCTGAAGGCCGCTCCGTTGTCTCCGTTCCCCATAGCAGCCCCTGTGCAGAATGGGCTTGCAAGCAGCTTGCCAGCTGAGGTTCACAGCCACACCCGCAGTCCCCCGGAGCAAATCTCCCAACCTGTGCAGCCCCTGCCAGAGCCCCTCCCCTCTATCCACCCCTCGACATCTCCTGGCTCCCCTCCACCAGCCCTCCCGAATCACAAGTACAACACCACTTCTACCTCATACTCCCCGCTTGCAAGTCTGCCCCTCAAAGCAGATACTAAAGGATTCTGCAATCTCAGTCTGCTCGAGGACTTGCCTCTGCCAGAGCCTCAGTCACCTCACAAGCTCAACCCAGGTTTTGATCTGGCCAAGGGCAGTGCTGGTAAAGTGAACCTGCCCAAGGAGCTACCTGCAGATGCTGTGAACCTCACCATCCCTGCCTCTTTGGACATATCCCCCCTTTTGGGCTTCTGGCAGCTGCCCCCTCCTGCTACCCAAAATGCCTTTGGGAACAGCCCCCTCAGCCTGGGGCCTGGCGAACCTCTGCCCCATAGGTTAAGCTGTCTGGGGCAACAGCAGCAAGAACCCCCACTAGCCATGAGCACTATGAGCCTGGGCCAGCTCCCCCTGCCCCCCATTCCCCATGTGTTCCCTGCCGGCACGGGTTCTGCCATCCTGCCTCATTTCCACCATGCATTCAGATGACTGGCTTTGCAAGCATCCTTATCCTGGCAAATGTTTTAAGAAGCATTTTAAACATCATTTGTACCACAAGGGAGGATTTAGAAGCAGGACTGGACATATAGGGCTTATTCAGTAACGGCTGGCTAGAAGTGAATCCCCATACTGCATGTATCGTGCCAATATGTGCTGAGTGTTCATGCTTTGTACCAAATGTAACGCGCGCGTGTTCTTAATGAAACTGCAGACACCGTCATGTCGGATATCCAAAACAAGGGCTGCTATCTGTACATACATGTTTGTCATTGAATTTACTCATAAGCCATGATCGTCATGTTAACTACATATATAACTATGTGGCATTGCCTAGTAAATGAACTACGGAAAGATGTGTCTTTCTTCAAGTCAGGAGAACTTTTAAAATAAGAAAATAGCCTTTATATGGTATATTATAACTAGGCTGTGTATTTCTTTTCAGGGATTTTTCTACCTTCAGGGTTGGATGTAGTTTAGTTACTGTTGCCATAGCCAACCTATAGTCTTACAAAAACAATTTCTTGTGGAACAATAGATTTCTGCATTTAAAAAAAGCATTTTAAGTTTAGTTTGAATATTTTCCACAAGATGCGACTATGTGAGTTATCACTGACTTCATTTATCTTAAAGACTAAACTGGTTGTCAGTCATGTCTGACAGAAAAAAAAAAAAATCACTGTGTAACCAGGTTAAGTGGTCAGATAATCTAGGCGTCAGCCAAGAAAGGCATTTTGCTGACTTTAATATTGATTATATTTTTAACAGGAATTTATGAAAATATTACTGGAATTTTAAATATAAAAAGACTTTCTTTGCTCTATCTGGCTTAAACTACTACTCTGCTTAAATTCTTAAATATTGTTTTAATCACAAATAAAAGCATTTTTAATTCATCAATTTGTTGTCACTCTTAGTTTTTATTCCAAGAGGACAACAATTTTACAGTGTAACTATCATCTTTCCCTTGAGTTTGGAATTTAATGACTTTAAAAGTTACTTAGTCTTTTGTTTTTTAGAGACTTTCTTTTCCATGAAGGTGTATATCTGATGTAGTGAAGTCTTCAAATCTTGCATACAGCATGATGATTTTTATATACACCTGCACCTGTGTAAAAAGAGCTCTGGTAGCATAGTGTCTAAGGCATTTGACTGCTAACCAGCAAGATGGCGGTTCAAACCCACCAGCCACTCCTCGGAAGGGATGGGGCAATTTATTTTCGTGATACCACCTTGGAAACCCAAGGAGGGGTCACTATGAATTGGATCCCACTCAGCGGCAGTGAGTTCGGTCTTAGTTTTTTTATAGCTATGTAAAGGAGCTCTAGTGGCACAGTATCTAAGGCATCTGACTGCTAACCAGAAGGTTGGCGGTTCAAACCCACCAGCCACTCCATGGAAGAAAGACTGGGCAGTCTACTTCCATAGAGATTTACCGCCTCGGGAACCCAAACGGGGGTCACTATGAGTCAGAATCCACTCAATGGCAGTGAGTTTGGTTTTGGTTTATACCTGTGGAAGCACCCAGGTGGAGGTATGAAGCACTCCTATATAAGCATTCTATTTATATAGAGTTTATTGACCCTTAAGACCACAAAGGACTAGTTGAGACACCTTCCAACAGAACGGTACACACCACTGGCAAACTGGTGACTTGTGATTTGCTTTGAGAAATACGTGGCCTTTAGAGCACCCTCCCCACAAGGTGGGAGATGTCTGTAACCTGTTCTTTCGGCTGCAGAACCAGTATGTGAGACAATTCCACATGCTGTGTCAAACATTTAAAATAGGAGTATCTGCTAACTACAAGTTAATGTTCATTAGGAAAGAAAAAAAAAAAGCTAGGACATCACAGCTATTACATAGAATAAAACTAGGTGAGAACAATTTTCCTAATAAGTCAACAATGCTGGTGCTCATTACCTGACCTTTTCACTAAAGGGCTCCAAGATCAAAGCAACATTGTCAGGCCTGTTAAACGTGTCTGTTTAAAAGAGTCAAGTGAAACTTTAAATCAAACATTATTTCATAGATTGATGTGCTGTTTAATGACTTGGTTTTGAAATTTTTGAAGAGAGTAAATAAAATTTGAAGCCACGTCTCACTTGTTCTGAGTGATGGGAGGACTTGCGGGCGTGGTGACAGACATCTACCACTCCTACCAGGCTGAGCAGCGTCGGGGAGCCAGGCTGAGCAGAACGGAGAAGAACCTTTAGAGCCACAGCACTGCCACATTCATGATGTTAAATACCACAAACAAAAAAACCAAACGCACTGCCGTGGAGTCGGATCCGACTCACAGTGACCCCTCCTTGGGTTTCCAAGGCACTATCACTACAGAGGGAGCTCTGGTAGCCTAGTGCCTAAGGCATTTGACTGCTAACCACTAACCAGAAGGCTGGCGGTTCAAACCCACCAGCCACTCCTCAGAAGGAAGATTGGGCAATCTGCTCCCGTAGTGATACGACCTCAGAAACCCATGGAGGGGTCAGTATGAGTTGGCTCCAACTGAAAGGCAGTAAGTTATCACTATAGAAGTAGATTGCCCAACTCTTCTTCCAAGTAGTGGCTGGTGGGTTTGAACTGCCAGCCTTCTTGTTAGCAGTCAAATGCCTTAGGCACTATGCCATCAGAGCTCCCAAAATACCACAAGTCTCTACATTTTTCATTTTCAAAAAAGGCTTCAACTTTATAGTAATCCTATGTCACCAGCCACTCCTCGGAAGGAAGGTTGGGCAATCCTACTTCCGTAGTGATACTGCCTCGGAAACCCAAGGAGGGGTCGCTATGAGTCAGGGCCGACTCGATGGCACACAACAACAACAACAACAATATGTCACTCTCGGGGAACTAGCCTTTTTTGAAAGGAATGACTGAGAAAGGGAACAGGTGGCAGCCTTCCAGGTCAAAAATGAGGACTCGGTCCCCTTCCTGTTTAGTCAGAAAACTGAATGTCCTTTTTGAACTGTGTGTGTAACAGCACGTTTCAGGAGCACACAGGTTGTTAACCCAGCTCAGGGTTTGCCCAGATTGCTTTTTGGTTTGTCCACTGTGGATTCGTCCCCCCAAACAGTTACCAACTATATCTTGAACATGAGACCATCAGCTACACTTGGATTAGAGGTTAATTTTTTTCTTACCTGGCCTCTAGGAGTTAATCTTTTTTAGGAGATTTAGTAAATCCTTGTCTGAGTTTTGCTCCAGCAGCAAGATCTGTTGCTAATCCTTTGTAAACATAAACAGATTTGTTATTATGTCAAAGCAAAACATTAGCTGGGGGAGGGGTGATTGTGAAATCCCCTCGTTGCATTCAAAAGTCGTCTGCTATAGGAAGTCTGGCCTGACCCAAATAATAAGGGAAGCGGGAACCAGGGCCTTCTCTTCTCTACCCCTAGCCCTTCATTTGCCCGTGAATGGGCCCTCCTTTGGATGGGCCCTTAGATGACCCTCCATAAATACAGGAAAACTGTCAGCTCCCCTACCCTGCTACCCCAGCTTTCAAAACTTACCCTAGCGTTTCCTGCTTCACACTTCTTAGGCAGCTCTCATACTGCAAAGGGTTTGATGAGCCTAATGGAAGCCTCACGCCTTCCCTTTCAGGGTTATTTGCCACCCATCCATTCTTTGCACTATCCTTTGTGCCCAGCAGCACTGCTGGGGCTGGGGCTGGGGATGGAGGCGTTTGTAGTGATACCGCCTCGGAAACCCAAGGAGGGGTTGCTATGAGGCGGATCCGACTCAACAGCAGTGCTTTGGTATACCATACTGGGATCTGTTTTTGGCCTCATAGGTCCAGATTCTCAGAGACTTTTTTTTTTTTTTTTTTCAAAAAGGAATTAGTCCCTTCTGTCCTAGAGGCTGTCTTTCTGATTAGTGCTTTTGCAGGGCAGTAACCAAACCACACGAATGAATTCTGAATCAAACTATCAAAGGACATGGGAATAGAAAGAGCTTTTGGTGTTAGCTTTATCCACAGACGCGCGCGGTTCACTTCTATCGAAGAAGCAGCACCTGACGCCTGGATCCTCGTGGCCTTTGCTACACAAATGAGGTAAAGAGAGTAGGTGCCAGTACAAGTTAAGACGCTTAACTTGATAAAGCCCCAAGCTCCAGAAATAAAAGCAGAGCCTACACGACCAACATACACACACACACCAGCTGCTGCCCAATCGATTGCAACTCATGGTGCCCCTGTTTGTGTTAAAGTACAACTGTGCTCCCTGTATACTGTAATTCAGTCAATACAGGAACCAATGTGAGGCTGGACCTCAAGACTGCATTTCCATAGTGATCGTGTCCTGCAGTCTAAAGGAACCAGAGAACCTGTTTCTCAGCCTTACCTTCCCAGTGAACTAAGCCTTCTAAACCAAAGGCCTCGAGGAAATGGGCACCATTATACATTTGTGGACTAGGCAAAAACTTTCCCATATGAACATTAGAATCTCTGTGAGCCCCATCTCTTTCTGAAAATTACAATTTCCAAATATGTATCTATAGCCTTAATGTTTACATTTTTTGACCCAGTCTTACCAAAGTGGACAAAGATGTGGTTGGCTCTGTCACTTCCTTTTGTTACTTGGGCAAGTTCCTTAACCTCTGTGTGCCCATCTCCTCACATGGAAAATGGGGCTAGTCATAGGACCTTGACCCCATGTTACTGTGAATGATGAGAAGCGCTTAGAAAGTGAACAATGTAAGTGTGGGCTGTTGTCCACCAACAAGGCAATTATTTCATATCCCTAAATCTGAAACAGTCTAGTTCAACATCAGCAAAGCAGCTAAGCTACGGTGTATTCTGTGATATGATATGTTTGTTCATATGCTATGTTTTCTAAGAAATTCTTCTGCCATAAGGGAATGTTCAAAATGTGTTAGGTGGAAAAATCTGGATATGTAACTGGACATGGACTCTAACCCTAATTTAGATGAAAGGAAAACAAAAAAGGGATTATTTTGAAAAAAAATATCAGTGTTAACAGTGATCATGTCAGGGTGGTGGGATTATGGTGATGTTTATTTTCTTTATACTATTTCTC